TTTCCTTACTTTGTATTCATTCTGATGATGGCGTAAGTAACGCCGAAACATGTCAAATACACCACATTTAAAAATCGTAATTGTTATTTTAAAATTACTATGCTCATTGCTGATCAAAAGACCTTTTAAATTGAAATATCCTTAAAATAATTTATTAATGAGATGCCGCCATTTTGATTTTCCCGCGAGTGGTCTATCACAAATTAGACCATTAGTAGAGTAGCCAATCACAGCGCAGTAGGAGTGATAGACCATTAGTATGTTTATCTCAAGTTATAAACACTGATTAATTAAACATGAGTTTTATAACTAACAGTTAAAAAACTCATACATAATTAATGAGCTACTAGGCCAATAGAATGAGTCTATTTGGTCACATGCATGGACCTTTATATCTGATAAAACACTCCTTATTAGTATTCTTTATATAAAGAATACTAATAAGGGTGACCTTTATCAGATATAAAGGTCCATGACCCTAGCAAAGGTCTCAGGTTTGAAACCTAATCATTGACCAATGCAGGATGTCAACCGATTTCGCTGAACAGCCAAGAGCAATATTCAGACATGATGTACATATCAAACGTGAGAGGAGGAAAAAAAAACACGTCCTAGGCTACAAGGCCGCCTGGGACGTCAATAAATGCTTGAATTTGAAGCCGTGTCGATTGTGTTTTTCGTCGGTTTGTCTCCAACCTTGTCATAATATATATAAGTAGGCGAAAGTTTACCATAATGAGCGGAAACTTCACAGGGGTGTTGAGAAAAATAAGAAGAACACTATGTTGTAGTTTGAAATAATTTTATTCAGTTTTAGACCACTTTTATTGAACTTTTCGTTTTTCACTGCCAAGTCCAGTGCTTGGGCTACCTGTGATAAAACTAATATTTTCATTAGATTTCTAATTTACTAGCTAGCACTAGCCACATGCAGTCCTAGACTGCCTATTTTTATAAGTTGTTCTGAACTTCTCAGAGTTTGAAAAGATGCAATGTTTTCGCTCGTAAGTCTGACGATTTTTTTCCTGTGAACTTCTATTTAAAAGGTGCGGTATAATACGAGCAGCAAAATGGTCCAACTTTTGTGGCAACATTGCGCTGCAAAACAAGTGGCAAAGCGATGTTGCGCGTTTTACTAGCGGCGAACCAACTTTTTTCGCAGCAATTTTTTTTGCACTGCGATGATGCGATGATGATGTGACCTAACATTTGTTATACGTTGTGAAAATGAAATAGCTACTCGCAGCACTCAATTTCTATTAGAAATGACTAGTCTATCATTATATCGTATAATAAGATAAGTTTTTTAATCCTTTAGGAGTTATAATTTAGTGATTCGAAAAGTGGGACGGACTTTTTGTTTTGCTACCGGAATGCTTTGCGGTCGGAACGATCATTGATTTTTATGGTCCGCCATTWTTCGAATCGGTGGATTAATAGAATAGTAGAAATTTATTAATCTAGAATTCTCAGTTGTATAATTTCTTCTTGAAGCTCTTTCAGTAAATGCGTGCAATCGAATTTCAACTAAAAGTCCTCGAAGAGAACTGACAGCAAAAKTCAACATGAAAAAGAAATCATGGGTGATGCTAGCTTTGGCCGTGGAGATTTTCATCGCAATAATCATTTTGAACCATTCTCGTTATTATAGAAATCTTCTGTATTCTCTGATAGTACAAAAGAAGCATGTCACGTTGGTGGTTGGTGTTATTAGTGCTCCTTTGCTTGCAGATAGACGTCACGCCATTCGAAATACATGGTTTAAATTCTGTSAGCATCGTCACCAATTRGTGTGCAAGTTTTTCCTCGATGGATTAGAATATATGGATGATAAAAGCCGTCGAGMTATCGTCAAAGAGAACTCTATATATAATGACATTGAGTATATTGGCGTCCCGCCTGGTGTTAACTTTGGAAGACGGATTTTGTGGCTGCTGGAATGGTCTAGTAGGAAGTTCGTCTTTGACTTTGTTCTTCGTGTTGACGATGATATGTTTGTTTGTTTGCAACGKTTGCTKTATGAACTACCACATCGACGAGAAACCAAGTACGTAGAATCACCTTCAATTGTTGATGTTTATTTAGAGACTGCCCGCTAAAATATATCGTCAAGACAGGGTATGGTGTTTATGGTGGTATCTTCACAACCCTTAAAATAATTGTAAGGAGGTGCAATTTTCTCCAAGGAACCATAGTGGGGGGACGTTGTTTGATTTATTTTATTTTAAGGAGTAGATTTTGACTTGCTGCTTAAAAAGAGTAAACACTGACCCCTTTCTTGGTAACTAATTGCTCTATTTCATTATGATGTCACAGTACGTTTACATGCTCAGAAACAGTGGAAATTTGGATCCATTTATATTCTCTCCAAAAGTAGAACTTTAATGTATCATGTTTTGATATATGTCATGTATCAAAGATTGCCCATGTACATTTAATTGGATATGCAGTCACTCTGATCACATCTGAAACCATAATCCTTATTGTCAAAACAATAGAATGTTTTGATGTGCGTCATATGAAATAGGGCAATTAACAAACAGTCCCTTAAGATAGTACCAGATCTTTGAAAATTGTCAATGAACAGTTTTTGAATTCCTTGTTAGGACACTTATACAGTGAGATAAGGTGCCTATCCCCATCCTGGGCAAAGTCCTCGACATTTGACAGAAAATCAAATTCCTTCACCCCATACGACATAGGCAAACTACACGTAGGAGGATCTTTGTTTATAAAAATGTTGCTCATTAACATAGAGTTTTAAAAAGGTGTTGTTGTATGGTAAAGTGATGATAAGCCTACACATTCTCTCTAAAAATTGAAAAACTATTTCATCCAGAGAGCTCAAGTTTATTATAGCATGTTCTTTTGATATTCAGTGGTTATTTGTGCAAAAAGGGAAATGTCTATGCTAATGAGTTGTGACCATTAACGTCAGTAAAGATTTGTCTATTTAATTGAAAAGAACAAAATGGTCAAATGGCTGGCTTTCAAAGTCAGTATGCTCTCCTACATTTACCCTTAAACTTTACTTTATTTTTTATATCCTTCATCAATTATTTTGACTTGTGAAAGAACAGTCCCCATAGTGACTTTGTTATTGCTGTTTGTCAATTGCCAATACTCAATTTACAGTTCCCAGGATCATCTTGAAAAATACCAGGAAAGACAGGAGTTGTGCTTGCTATGCTCTCTTAAATTAATGTGAACAAAAGGTTTCTATCACTGCAAACTCAATTCCTGTCCAACTTTGATGCAAATGATTGATGATTCTTGGAAATTGAGTATGTAAAAACGTAGTTGTGTTCGAAAAGGTCACATCATTGAAGCTAAGACCAAAAGGGATTTTGAGTACCACTAAATTGGGATTACATTTGCATATACGGTGTACCGTAAATCAAGTAGAGCTACTAAGATTAACAGCATGCTAGTCATTTATGATGGAGAGCTGTTTGTTATGAAATTAGCCAAATTGTTTGTCTTCCCAAGTACCCTTTCGGTCTTAGCTTCTATGATTAGACCTTTTTGGACCCGACAACGTTTCTTCAATTAGGTGTATTTCTTTATCATATAATTATCTATGAAATATGTACCCATATTTCTACATTTCGTAAGGTTGATATTTTCACAAATAAAAATAACACATTCAAGGTTTCTCTATATAGTGAAAGTAAGGAAAAAAGGTATTTCACCCTACGGCATAATTTGCTTTCATATGTAATTATATGATAAACAGAATAATACATGGTCGCTTGGAGATACAAATTTTATCTTCTCGTGTTGAAAATTTTTCACTTGTGAGAGATCTTTTCAACACTCGATGATAAAATCTGTATCTCTGTGCACCCATGTAATATCCTCTATTTTCTGAGGTGTTTTGAAATAGGCATGTATCAAGCTATCTATGAACTCTACAGCACAGGCGGTTGTCTGACCACCGTCTGGATTCAAAAGTTTACAAAACGGCATGAATTTGGATTTTTTGACATATTTTGTTATAATATTCAGGGTTGCGTGACAAACTTCAAGCTTTAATATCTCGAGAACCAAAGAATTGTATACACTCATTTTTGTTATATCTTAATAATACCCATATTTATAACATATACAGTTTGTATCATCATAGGATGCATATTACTTTAGTGACGTCACATGAAACCCAAGAATATCATTGTACTTGAACCAATCCTTGGTTAGTGCCAAGAAGGTATAAAACTGCAATCTGTCGCAAGATGACAGTGATCCCAATCCTAAGGTCTGCTTCACACTATAACAGAGGCATACCCTGTGAGCAGAGTGTATTTCCTTACCTCAATAAAAATTCGCGAATTTTTATTGAGGTAAGGAAATACACTCTGCTCGCAGGGTAACAGAGGCAGAAAACAAGCAGAAACTGGTTCAAGATCTGGTTCACACGTAGAAATCCAGTTTCGAATTCTCTAATGCTCTGTCTTAGCCTCTTTTTGGCGGAGAATATTCCTAATTGTGAGAATAAAAGTGTGAGATTTCAAATCAATTCTATTGTCTTTCCATGCGTTTTCTAGGGCAATCAATAAAACAATTAACAAATAAATAAGGCTCAGCCGTGGTTTATACTCTGATAAACGCACGCTTGGTATTTGAAACACACGAGAAAATGTCAAGAAGCACGATCTGAAAGCGAGTGCTTTTGGACATTTTTGAGTGTGTTTCAAATGCCAAGCGTGCGTTTATCAGAGTATAAACCACAGGCTGAGACTTATTTAGTTGTTTTATTATCGTATGAGGACTAGTAGCTGATCCCATTAAAGAGTGCTCAATACACATAAAGTGTAGAGCTAGTTATATATATGATATCAAAGAGGCAAGATTTTGCTGTAACTCCGAGTTTCGTATCATATATATAGTTGTTTTATTATATAGTTGTTTTATTATATAGATTTTGAGCAAAACTTAAGCAAAAATCCATTTTGTTTTGATCTGTGATCCYCAAAATACTTCTGATCCCTGATGCCTTTTTCCTTGTTAGTACCCTATAACATGTTAAGCACTGGTATATGCAGTGCCTCGGGGGTCTTTTTCTTATGTCAGAATAAAAGATGATCCATTCATTTGTTGTTTCTCATTGCAGGTTGTATTGGGGACATGTTCACTGTATAAAGGATCGGGTTCGTGTGGACGAGGAATTCCTTCTCATGTCAAATGATCTGGTACACGAGTTTTTAACAAARAAAGACACGTTGCTATGCAACCCTTTTGGCGATATATCAGTAGCATTATGGGTCAAAAATGTACCGGATGTGACGTATTTTCACGATCAGCGTGTTTTCCATAGTGTTCGTGGACATGAACGTTATCTGTTTGAAGATCGTAAACTTTGTCATAAGTTTTTGGCGATAAACAGCGCTTATAGGACTGAATCTCTACGATACTGGATCAATGTACAGCATGAAACCAAGACAAACTTTGAGATTGCTGATGTYAGACCGTTTGATCAAGTATGCAATCAATCTAAGTCTCTCGATTGGAGAACGTTTGCTCTGGGTCACCGCTTTGAACCTGTTCGCTGTGACCGCAAACCTACCTGGAATCTACTCGGTCATATTTATTTAGGACGAAAAGGCGAAGAGGAGAAAAAAAAGAAAATTGARATGAAAATTAAGGAAGAGAGACGAAGAAGAATGGAACTTGGTCAAACGGGAAAATAGTCACTGCTGACTCGTTTAAATGATTTGTCACAAGATGTATGGCCTCCTTTGTCGGWATTCACCTGTAAAACCACTGATTACAAAGCGATGACAATAAAGTCATAAATCAATAATTGGATTCCATTTTCAAATATGTAATATTATAAAACTTATTAATAATGCATGACTATTACTCCAATAAGGGCTGTCCATTTAATCAGGTGATTGACCTTGTAAATCTGAAGCAACACTAGTGTTGTATCAGATTTACAATACGGTCGTCACCATTGAGACATTCCAACACTAGCAAAKGTCTCAGTTTTAGTATCGCATCATAGTCCATATCGCAACCCGCGGAAAGCCATGTGACGCAGTGCATTTTGGGATTGATAAATGAGTAAACAAGTGAACAACGATGTCAGTGCTCCAGTTGTCTGTAACGTAGACTCGGTTTTCGAAAAACATTGGGAAATATTGATATTGTAGTTAATCTCAGAAGCGAAAAAACAAACAAATATCAACATGCAAGAAAATACAGCAAGAAAAACCTCCAAAAAATGTAAAGTTAATCAAGAATTTCCATTTACTAGGCAAATCAAGCTAAAGCTAAAATGAAAACAAGCATATTTTGTCTGTGGAAAAATCGAAACTAATTAGTGTTTTTACGATTTTAGCGATTTGTTTTGATGAAGAAAGGGAGATATATATCCCATGATACATTGCAAAACCATTCAAAATRGCGGGCTTGTGATATGGACTATAGACCTTCTCTAGGTTTTGAAGCAATGAAAGACAGACTCTCTTATGAAACATGGCTTTTCTATGTGGGATGGATAATTATTCAAAATGTTCTGTGCTGCAGTAAATTGCGCATGCTTAATAGTGACTGTCATTTTTCGTCATTTATCTCACTGTAATTCATGTTAATTTGTGTTGGAGTTTTATAAGTCGTTTACAACATTCGGGCGCGTCCGTGTTGTATGGGAATTACAATCTCTCGCCTGCGGCTCGAGATAGCCCATTCATTTTCATCAAAAATCGACCATTTTTGGCCATTTTTGTGGGCTATAGCCCACGTCACTGCTGCCATCTTGGGGGAACTTTAACGAAGGATTAATCTCATTAGTATCTATTGTTCCTCCAACATGGCCGCCGGTCTTTTATCTTCTGAATCCCATGGGAATGGTTCATCGAATGGTTGAAAACGATCAATTGAGCTGATGCACATTAACAAGAACCACTTCGTAGAACATTCCATTAAACATTAAATACCGCGATCGATTTGATAGATTTTGCTCGTATGATATTTTCACATCATTTTTTTAAACATATTTTTATCATTAGTTGTTTGTGCTTAGATCGATCACTAGCTTTTATATGTTAATTTTTATCATTGCAGCGAAAAAAATCTTGCAAGGGCAAAAATTAAAAAAAAACTCGCCTAAAGCCTTTATTTTTTTAAATTTACAAAAAAAGTTGACTATCCTTCTGAGGAGCAAAACTGAATCATACGGCTGACGCTATAAAAAATATTCACGCGTCACGGCTATTTTTTTTCTCATTTTCACGACTCACGGCTAATTTTTCAGCCGCTTCACTAGAACAACTATATTTCAGTTAAAAAAAAGAAAGAAAGAAAGAAAAGACCAGACGTGCTCAAGTCGAGGATCGAAGCTTGGAACTCTGGATTATAGGTCTGTTGGGATTGTTAAACTGCGACGTGGAAAAAAATAAATAAATAAATAAAGTCCCTGCATTTTATAACCGTGCTGAAGGTCTTCGGGCTGGACACGGTAAACAGTAAAATTATAAATTACAACTATCTCTAAAAATCATATTTTTTTCTTCCTATCTTTCATTTTAATGTTGTCATTTTAGTTAGTTTTCAAGGTTGCAAGCCTAATTCTGTCCCACCCACGATATCAAACTATCATTTGTGTTTTTGTCATGTCCAGTAAGTCGTTCATGTTTTTTGTACATTTAGATTTTTTCTTTCTTTCATTTTAATGCTGTCATTTTAGTTAGTTTTCAAAGTTGCAAGCCTAATTCATATACATAACACAAACATTTATTTCAAGAACACCTTTTAATGAATGCTGATTATTGACTTAACGACCATTGAATATTACAAAGAGACTGAATATTCTATTTTCAAATTCAAAGACCTCGCCAAACAAAAGAAAGCGGGACCAATAGCATTGAAAAGGCTGCATTTTTTCAACATTGAGACAACTGACCCTGTATTCCCAGAAGGCCTAAGGAAAGACTTTTGTGAATAGCCGACTTRCGAATTACGCATCAATAGTCACATACAAARGAATCAAGACGAGCCGCCGTGCTAAAGACAATAGATTTTTCACAAAAAAGCACGGCGCCTCGTCTTGATTCCTTTGTATGTGACTATTGATGCGTAATTCGCAAGTCGGCTATTACAGGGTTCGCCTTACATTAACTCGGGGAAACTGTAAATTGTTAGGACTATTGTAATTAGAGCCGTTAATTAGAATGATTTTTTTTCGTGCTTTCTTTTAATTTTTTTTGGTAAGGCCTTTGCACAAGAGAATCTGATGTCAAATAAAACAGCGGTTGTTMGCTTCAATTATTATTTAAAAAAAGGTGTTTTTTGTTGTGTTTGTACTTTATTCTATACAAAATATTTATGATAAAGGATATTTCTTGACATGCTATGTATTACCAGGTATGAACTGTACAATTGATTCCAATATCCAGAACGCAAGCAAATTTACACTAGTTTTAAAGTGTGCACAATTGATCAAATATCTTTGGATATTTGATATTAAGCAAGTTCTTTTTTAACCGAGTAAAAATAACCAGCTGATTCACTACCTGCTGACATTAAGACAGCGAAATACTAGAAGCAAATGGGACAACTCTCCGTTTCGCACCAGATTCTTCCAACTTTCAACACAATAAAAGACGGAAACTGATTTGCTAGGATTGAATTCTGTCTCGAGTTTTATGAATTCAAGGACGAAATTCTGTCATGGACGATGAACTCAGGAAATACATTTTCTTGTGTCGGTTGGATTTCTGTGTCTAACATTCATCAAATTAGGTGCTGATTATTGGAGTTTGGAAGCCTGGGATGGATGATATTGAAAATAAATGTCATGCACGCCACGAAGGGCGAGATAAATCTCCTTTAAGGCAAAATCTCCACTAGCTTCTTTGTAGTTAAACAATCAAAACCAAATGGTCAGTCCCCACCCCCTCCCCCAAAGGAAAGTAAACGAAAAGTAACCAAAGGGACTCTTCTTCTGGCCGATATAAGATAACATAATCTACTTTCCAAGCTCTACGAATCTGAGCCAAAATGACAATCGTACTTCTCAAAATTGAATAGTAACCGATGACGAACTACAAGTTGGGTGTGTTTGTCTTAACAAATCAGCTGTATTTTTAGAGAACTTTTGCGGCATTAAATGTCTTAAGAA